AAAACACAACACAGATTGCTGCTATTTCAATGATGATAAACGTCAATGCGAAAAAAAAAACATAAAAAGGGAAAGACAATGAATGATATGAAGCCTTGCTACTGTGCATCATCCATTACACAAGTTCACTTTCTTCATCATAACTCAACAAAAGTCGTTGACTTAATTTCACACTATATAGGATTGTATGAGTCGAGGAAATTAAATAAGCAGAAAGAAAATTACAATATCACTTAATAATTCCTATTAACTGGGCCAATGTGTGCCCTAGCTAGCTGTTCCTGATTTGCAATGTGGAGAATATTGGACATGTGTAAAAAATGTACACTTGTCGTCGATGTGAATTGAATGAGAAAGGTAGGAAACAATAGTAGATCTAAAATGGGGGTATGAGACAAATCCTTTTAGTAGTAGCAGCCAGTATTTAAAGTGGGAGTAGCAGGGGAAAGAGTAAAAGAAAAACTAAAAAAGAAAAAATGTAAAAGAAAGAAAGAAAGGAGGCACAAGGGGTGTTGTTGTTGTTGTTGTTGTTAGCAGTGACGGCCCCTACGGCAAGGGAGGGCCCCAGCTCCAGAAGTAATAGAGGCAACCATGGAAGACGGCTTTGCTCCGAGGCTTGAGGCTCTAGCGTAACTAGCTGCAGCCCCAGCTCCGGAAGAGGTGAAATAAGCACCGTTGAGCAAGAGATCACCCTCGGACCTCCAATTCCAGCCCTTCCACTGGTTGTCGGGCGTGTCAACTCTCTTTGTCACCTGAATGAATTAATGAAGCAACATTAATAATAATGTTAGTGGATGGCAACTAAAGTTGTGTATTGCACTTGTACCTCCTTGGCAAAAGGATTGAGGGGAGCAAGATATCGGTTGCCCTGGCTATTGATGGTGGGTTCGGCACTCCCTCCAATGGCATACATCTCCCAGTGTGTGTAGTCGTTGTTAACCACATGGAAGTATCCATGTCTGCACCTGGGCATCCTCTGAATGAGCCCCTCTCCGAAATGATTGAATGCAATGGTCACCTGCATCTGTTTGTCTCTCGTGTAACTATCGCTATGACCCAACAGCATAACCTCATTGTGGTGGGTGAAGTAGTTATTGGAGATGGTGATGGCCGTGGAGCCCATGACCGCATCCACGAGGCCGTCCGCACAGTTGGAGAGCGAGTTGTGGTCCACCCAAATATGGCTCGACCCGAATATGGAGATGGCATCCCCATCCGCCATTGTCCTCCACCCGTAGTGGCTCGGGGAGCTGCGCACCATCGCATTCCCGGTCGGCTTACAGTCGTGGATGTGAAGGCCGTGGATGATCACGTTTGTCACAAACTGTATGGTGATGCAGGCACCGTTGGCGATGTGGACGTTGGTCCCGCGCGCGTCGATGGTCTTGAAGCTGTTCATGATGAGCTCCTGCTTGAGGGTGATGGTCATGTCGCGCTTGAACACAATCCAGAGGGGCTCGTCTTGGATGACGGCGTGGCGGAGGGTGCCGGGGCGGGGGGTGACGGGATCGTAATCCCCAGGGTCAGTCACTACGTAGAACCGCCCGTCGCGGCCACCAATGGCTCCCCGCCCGAACCCGATGCCGCAGTCTGCAAGACGCTTGCGGTTGCGCTGCCAGTTGGAGTCGCATCGCCAGCAGTCGTCAATTGGGTTGCCGGTCGAGCAAGAAAGAAATCCCAGGCCCCGACGCTCTGTGCTGTTGCTAGTTGCCCTGTTTTTTGTTGAAAACAGTCATCAAACACAAATTTGTGTTTTTTGGCGACAGGAATCAAATTAAAGTAGGTCAAAAGCACACGATGAAACACAATCTTTGACTTTATATGGGGGGTTGGAGCAACAAAGCAAGCACAAAAAAGTCCAACATCCATATCTATATAATATATATACACATACATTATAAATTAAAATATGCATAATATAATTAAGAACAGAAATTAAACAACTTATTTAGCGCAAAACACGCATCTACCAACCAACAATAGTATCATGTGGATGAAGAGTAATAAGTTAATAACCACCCACAAGCCACAAACATCATCCTTCATTTCATTCATATTGGAATATCAATCATGTTACTGATGCTATATGTTAATGTTTCATTTTTTAACCAAAAAGAATTAAAAAAAAAAAGAGTAAAAAAACCGAAAAAAGTTAATAAAAAGCTATGTAGTAATAATATGTTAGAAACCCAACCTCCACACCACACCACCCACCTTGAAAATTCAATAATTATTAAGAAAAAAAAAAAGGAAATAATTATATGGCATGTGAGTGGGGACACACACACACAAAAACAACGTGACATTGAATTTGAAGAGCACAACAAAAGCAACTGCTACTGAACCCTCCCTCGCATGTTATATGTCAGTTAATGCAGAGTTAAAAGCAGTAGTCAAGTTCCAAATCCTCCTACTAAATGCACTTCCTTAAATTAATAATAAATACTAAGTATATATGAAAGAAGATGATAATTGCACTTCATCTTTTAGTTAAACTACGGAGTATATAATTTTTATAATAAATCATGCATGTGGTGAAATAGAAATGACAGACATAATTTTGTATTTTGTACCAGCAATATTTGCAGTCTCTTAGATCCAAATCTAAGACATTAATTGTATTGAGTTAATTAGTTGTTGTTCTTTAATAAAAAAATACTACTATTAAATATTTATAATTATACGTATAAAAAAACATAACAAACTAATTAATTGGGCAAGAGCTTACAAAAAAAAAACAAAAAAAAAAAAACAGAGGCCTCACTCACATTTGTACGATTCTTGCAACTTGATCAGGGTCATCCACGGCATGCTCATTCAAAGCCTTTTCATTCGACCTGAAAACAAGCGCACACACTCAGCCCAAATCACACCTTCATTAATTACACATTAATTTATCATCCTCTCAGTTACATAAAATAAATACATAGTATTATGATTTTCAAGAACATGTATGTATGTAATCAATGTATGTATATTCTCGAAAACCTATGCAAAAAAAGAAAAGGTTGACCACCGGTTGAATTTTACCATTTAGACCCAAGAAAAAAACAACTGCAGCAGCTAGTTTTGCAGACAGCCCGCCCCATTTAAGGTTTAAGGCTAAAAGAGGTGAGAACGAGTATGTATCTATGTATGTATGTAGTAAATGTCACATGGTGTGTCAGTCGCTACCGACACTTTGCACCAATTAATTTTATTTTAAAAGTTCATTATTTTCACACTTATTAATTAATGATAATGACAATAATATTTCCATTTTGCCAAAATTAAAATTAAAAAAAAAAGGGTAAATACATACCTAAAACTATTAAAAGTGCTTTATGTGTGTAGAGAGAAAGAGAATCAGGTATTTTGTGTGTGGGAAAATTGAATGCAAGTTGGGAGGGTAAAAAGTTCATTTGGGGGTAGATTTTTTTTTATTAAAAAGCTCAACAAGAACAACTGACTAAACCGTTTGGGATCTGAGGGTAAATATGGAATCTGCTCTCAAAATTCAATTACTTTCAAATTTCTTTTTTTTTTTTTGGATAGGGTGTGAGGGTTGTGGAGCAGATCCGACGGCTGAGATTTGATTGTGGCGAAAGTGGGAAAAAATTTGAGTCCGTTGAAACTTGAGATACTGAAGGCATTGTAAAGCGCAGGGAATAAAATAAAATAAGAAGTGGCGTCGTTTTACTCACTCGTCCGCCATTGTTACGTTCTGCGACCTCTGCAACTTTTCTTTCTCACCAACACTGCCAACAAAAGGGGAAAACTAATCAACAACTCAAATATCAAGATTTCTATTAAAAAAAAAACCTAAAATAGATTCCTAATTTAGTGCAAAATGCTCGTGAAATTCCAAGTAAAATTGGAAATTCCAGAAAACACCAAGAGAACCAAGACGAAAGATCCGAAAAACAAACAAGGAATAAGAAATATGAAACTCGTAAAATTTCAGAAAAAAAAAAAGATGGAAGATTTAAAAATTGTTAAAATAAAAATAAAAAAATGTATACCTCAATAAGTTGTGTGTTTGATTTTTATGAAGTCGAGCGAGAGCTCCAGCAAGAAGCAGCAGCAGCACCAAAGAAAACAGAGACATGTTTTTCTTCATCGCCATTATTTAGGGTACTCCCTCTTCTTTCTCTATTTTACGTATGTGTGTGTGCGCGTGTGAAATGTGTGTGTATAATCAGCTAGCTCTCCATGGAGCTGAGAAATTAATTAGTTGAGAGAGAGAGAGAGAAAAGGAATTAATTAGTTGAGAGAGAGAGAGAGAGAGAGAGAGGGAACAGAGAGAGAGCGTTACAAATCAGTAACAACTGCCTACGCCCTTTTTTTATAGACTGCTCAGAGCACAACGTTAAACTTAACACCCGTTAACTAACTGCCATCGCTAAAGTGCACCGTTTGGCCCACTCCCTACTATCCATTTCAGATTCCATTTTTTTTTTTTTGTAAATATGTCTGTCGCCTTTGTTTTCAAACGACGTCGAAAATTTCTAAGAAAATTACCTTACCTGTGTTTATTTGGGGGAAAATATATATGAACATATAATAAATAGGTCTTCACCACCCTAGTCCTTACATATATCGAATTTGTGTTCATATTATTACATTTTAATTAATCTAACGGCAATATTACTACATTTTAATTTGTGTCTGAATTTGTTCTAGTTATAGCATACTTCATGATTTCATATATACTCACTAATTTTTTTCCACATATAAATTTTATTCAATTTTCTTATTTAAATTATGATATACCAATATGTAGTGAAAGTACCCAATTTATAATTAATGGATGCATGTGTATATTATGGAAATGGATAACATATTATTTTGTCCAATTACCTGTACGTTGCAAGTATTAACCATGTCTAGTGCTACAGCATATGCAATGATTACAGATTTGCATGTGACTATATGATAATATTGTATGACATATATATATATATATATATATATGTATTTATATATATTTCTTCACGACTTAATAATATATATGTATAGTCCTGGTAACGAACTACTGCTACCCTGTGTCCCTTTTATCCACTGTGTCTGATCCGCCACGTGCAAAGAGTCGGTCACTCACGTGCCACGCCAGACTTTATTTTTCCATTGTTTTTTTCCCTTTTCTTTTAGACTCGCAAACGCATGCTTTTTTTCCCAACTTATATAGTTTATGTATTCAAGCTTTATTAGTCCAAAAATATTCACAGTGTAACACCCCGCTAACCTACTAAAATCAAAGTACGATTTTCACAAATTCTTTTCTAAAGTTTACGTTTTAGTTTGCGAAACATATTTCGGGATGCTACATAAAATATTTTCTTTCTAAAAATTTGTTCTTTATTAATTTTTAAACTCATTTATGAAAAACAGATTATCGTTTATAAAACAAGCGTGTGATACTGTATAAAATTTGACCCGAAGATTCGGATCGTCGTCTGAAAATCAACACGCTAGTTTAAAAGTCTGAAAACGTCAGCGGAAGTAAAAACGTGGCAAATATGTACATATCAACAGACTGCAAAAATATATACATATTTACATGTACTGCACCGGCGACCACCAGCTCCACTCACTCCCCCGGACCGACTCTGTCTCCTGAAAAAGATCATAATAGTGGGAGCGTGAGTACTAACATCACTATACTCCGCAGAAACTCATACTAAAGTAAACATTAATAATAATATCAATATCATGACTGCAGGCATATATAAGTAACTGTAATCTCCAGACACAAGGTCTGTAACTGAACTGAACCTCCTCGGACACTATGTCCGCCATGTGCACACTCTGATGGGCAATTAAGGCCTCGCGCCTACATCAGAACTTTGGATGGGCAATTAAGGCCTCGCGCCTCCACCCAAAGTGGATATCTCATATACATACCATAAAACATGATAGAGCAATTATAACCAATGTAATACCCAGTCTGAGTTCCCACCTGAATTGATAATGTAAGTGTTGCTGCTGATCACTCTGTAAAAATATATAAATAAACAAATACTAAGTACTAAGCTCAGACTGACTGAAAATAGTTGTTAAGATGCTCGACTCGATCTAAATATTTAACTGGAACATTCTCGGGATTTAACTTGACCGACAAGAAAAACGGACTGAACCGATACTGGTGAACTAGACTGACCAGACTGAAAAATTGACAAAAATA